AGAACTTATTCTAGAAACCAGATGCTCACTATTTGTTGAATGAATAAATGAAGTGTCATTGCAGTTTCCTACGTACTTAATATGCTCTGAGTCTAACTGGCAAACCAGTTCAGTTCTCAGATTAGTGGGTGTGTGATGTTTAGATTCAAATATCCCAGACTCTTAAGGAGTATGTCTTTGTATTCTTATGCTTTAACATTCTGGGGCTTTTTTGGACTTTGGAGAGACCTTTCTTCTCAAGGCTAGCCAGTTCCTAGAGGTGGTAAGAGACTCACTGAAAGTGTGCCTTTCATATGCAAGCCACTTTATCACAAGCCCTTACCCCAGCCATCTACCTTATTGGGGCTCTCACAGGACCATTGTTCTGCTCTAATCACGCAGGGTCAGGTACCAGGCAACTAGGGGCAGCCCCTATGGCCCAGAGTCCACTGAAGTTGTTCAAACTATCAATCCTAAGCCTGATTATCCTACGCCATCCATTTCTTCCCAAGCAAACCACAGCAAAGGCTCTTTCTCCTTCACATTTCCCCCTTACTCCCTCTGCTCCTAACTGGCCCTTGGTGGTGTGGCATGCCCCTCTTCTTGCGAACTGTGAGAAACAAACTATCTTTTCAATCGCAATTGTCTCCTGATCTGTGGCTCTCACCATACCTGAATAATAATAAAACCTACATTTAAAAACAGTGACAAAAAGCATCTTCATTTGTCTTTATGTAAGGAAAGTTAGCAAATCTGAGTTTAAAACATTCATAGGTTGCTTACTAGGGTGTAGAGGAATAATGTCAGAGAAGGTTAAAAAACAAACAGATTGATTTAAAACATGAAAAAAATAGATAGATTTTGCCAAAAGATTAAGGAGTTGGGGAGAATTCAATTCAGAGGAAAAGCATGTGTAAATAATGGGCGACAAAGAGCATGATGCTTTTTAGAAATGATGCGTATTTTGACATTATCCAGTCTATATCATTTAATACTCCTTTTCTGGCTGGGCAGTAATTATCTGTTACTGAGCTTCTCTACAAGACTGTGGCTTACTCAGGGATGGAACTATGTTTCATTCATTTTCTTATCATCATTGTCTAGCACAGCATTGAAAAATAGAGGATCAATAATTGTTGAATAAATGAATACATAGATGAATGCGGGAGTGAATGAATGAGTTGAACTCACTGACGAGTAGAGTAGAGGCTGGCAAAAAATAAAGTCAGACACAGAAATAGGTCAAATTATGCCATTTTACTCCATAAATAAGAACTAGATTATCATCATGATTTAGAGCATATTGATGTTTAAAAATACATCAATATTAAGAGGTTATTCTAAAAACAGATCACGTTATTTCTGGCAACATTGTATTTTGCTCCAAGCTAAAATGAACAACAGACTAGAAATAGTACATCAGGGTTCCTAGAAGCATACTGATTGATAGCTGCTAAGAACTGGCTGCTGAGTTGTAGAGGAGCAGTAGAAACATCTACCACAAAATCCTAGCAATTTCATATCGGTCAGGATTATTATTAAAATCCTTTAATGTATGAATATTCATAGTGATGACCCTTAATTAAAAAAATTAATTATGGTAGTTTCTTCTGCTTAATAAGAAAATGTCTTCAACCAAAAGTAAATAACATATCTATGTTATTAAAAAGTGACATATGCAATGAATATTTATTTCCCCAAAGTGCTCCTTGAAAGAGTGGTGCACACTGTGTCAACCTCCTCTTTTCCCATGGATAGCTCCATTTGCATTTTACCCCATTACTCTTAAGCTCTGTTTACCAAGTTACTAGGAACCTTTATGGTCTTAAATTTAATGAATACTTTGTAATCCTAATTACAGATGGTCTCTTTGCAGCGTGGGACATGGCTATTCATTCCATCCTTGTCCAAGCTCTCTTCTTTTTTGGTTTTCTTGACCACTTCCATGTCTCCTTTGATTATTTTTAGTTTCCTTTGTGGGCTGTTCTTCATCCACCTGCTCCTTGACAATGAGTGCTCTCCCCAACCTTCTTCCCTCCTCACTTTCCCTTATATCCTTGGGTAATTTTAACTACTCCCGTGACTTCCACCCCATACTGAAGAGTCTTAAATCATTATTCAGCTTTAATCTCTCTACCCAGATCAGCATGTGCAAACCTGAACTCATCATTCCTTCCCTTACCCCTCCAAACTACTCCTTTTCTGTTTTCTCTCAGAGAATGGCACCACCACCCACCAAGGAAGTGGCAAAAGCCAGGACCTTGGCAGTCGTTCCAGATTCCTCTCAATTTAGGACCCACATCTAATTATTCACCAAGACATGTTTTTCTGCCTCCTTAAGGTCTTCATCCTTCCTGTTACTATCCTGGTTTAAATCCTCATAATCCTTGCCTGGAGTATTGAAACAACCTTCAAAAGGGTCTCTCTGCCCCTACTTTTGCTTGCCTCTAACCATTTTTGCAAATTCTATTACAATTTCAAATTTGATCATATCATTCACTTATTTAATTGCTTCAATGGTTCCTTTGGGCCTTCAGGATAAAATCATACTCCTTAGAAAGACCCTGCATAAACTGGCTCCTACTTTCCATTCTAAAGTCAACTTCAGCAGGGAGTTAGAGCAGCTCCCTGGATTAGCTATGCTCTCTCTCACGTCAGTGCTGTTCCACATTGTTCTTTTTACCTAGAACATCTTTCCCATTTCTTCCCCTACCAGCACCCCATGCCCCCCCACCAATTCTTTGCCAAATTTGCCTGCCCTCTAAGATTCAGTATTTGCCTCATCTTCTCTGGAGAGTTTTTGAGCTCTACAGTGGTGTTCCTCCTCTGTGTTCAAAGTTACTGTCATCACTGCACTTATCACACCGAATTGTGACAACATATGGAAAATGGCACTTTCTCCTGAGCTCCTCACTGTCCTCAGTGTCTATCACAGTACTTAAAACATATTGAGTGATTATTATGTAGAATGCAAGAATAGATTAAACATACCATATTGATCAGAAAGATGGCTATTGCATTGGAGGAGGGGAATGATTTGAAGTTAGTACAAATCCTTTTATAGTTTTAGGGCAGAGTGTACAGTTATAGAAAAAACTAAATATGAAAAAAGAGCCTGACAAACTGCAGAAGATGGTCTTACAGCCCTGGTTCACTAGGTAAACTAGAGTCCTAGCTGGAGTCTTGCCACGAGAATGAACTTTACGTACATAAGCTCTGGTTACCTCGGTGACAGGACTCCCTCCTGATAGTAATAAGGAAGCCACATGAAAACGAAGCAAAGAGCAATCAGAGGTAGAGCAAGTCGTGTTCTAGCTAGCCCCTCTTGGGAGGAAGGTCTGCGAGCACAGTGCGAGGGGTCTGTTATGTCAGTAAGGAAGAAGGTGCGTTCAAGAGGTGAAGAATATGGATAATGTCTAAAGGGTTAAACTGAGCCTGCACTCTCGGGAACTTCTTAGGCTGAATGGCCTACTGAATCTCTGTCTGACTAGGGTAATGGTCAGGATAGTTAATAAACAAATGTATGTGGATCCATGTTGCCTCAGCAGTCCTGTCAGAAGCCATCACTGCACTGAAGATGTGCTGGAGGTACAGGACGAATGAGTCCACAGAATGAAGATGACAGATATGGGGTATGTTCTTGGTGAATGATAAAAATTCCATAATGACAAGACCGTTAGATTATCCTTTAAGACTGCATTTGTTTATCTTGGAACTATAAATGATCTGTGAATCCTCTGAAAGGGTAGCTGTATGAATGTGCTTATTTTTTAAAATTTATTATTTTCCTGGGGAGAGACTCAAGAAAGTCTGTGATTCTCTCTCCTGCACCCAAGGAGATTAACTGGTTACAAAGAAAGACACTTCAAACTCAGACATGGCCTTTTCCAGTCCACTCTGAAGTCTTGTGTCCAGGAGCAAGGAAGCTGGGTGTGGCTGTTGCTGCTTGCTTATCCACTATCCCTTGGGCCTCAATTTGCCTCCCCTTCCGGGGAAACAGAATTCTATTTTACATGCCTCCCAGAAGTGTAACATACTCTGAGTGAGTTCCAGATGTCTTAAGAGAAGCCAGATGACTCACGAAAGGCAGACCAGCTTCAAGGAAAATGTGCCCCATTTCCTTGGAATTGGATACAAAGTGAAGCTTTCAGGGCCAGCTGTTGGGGGAAGAACATTCAAGGTGTGCTCTGATAGCCAGTGCTCATGTGGTCAGCACTTGACCACGGGAAACGTCCTCCTTCCTTAGGCTGTTTTGAAGTGATACTCTCACCAAACACTGATTTTATTTTATTTTCTTAATAAGGAGGAAAGGAAACAAATATTTAGTTAGGGCCTTGGCTATCAGGTAGTATGCCTTCACATATTTATCTTATTTAACACTCACGATAGACACAGGAGGCGAAATATTTGGAACCCAGTTTTTCTAGATGAAAATCTGAGACTCAAAGAGGTTAAGTAAATGTATTTTAATTTTCGAGCAGTTTATGTTCCATTCTATGAGTATCATGTGAGAACATTCAAGTTTCACCAATGGTGTTACGTGGCTTCTAATCAAACAAAAAATTGCTGCTTCTTAGTCTATTTCTACAGATTTTCTCATGAACATAGTAAAGGCCACTTATGATGTGTGGACTCTCCTGCAGTGTTCTGTGTCTCTTTCTAATGAAACATGCTTGCAATAATGCTTGTAATAGTCACACACACACACACATACACACACACACTAACAAGCTTTGCCTTTGCACAGTTGACTGTGTAAGTGAAAGCACAAAGAAAGCTGCTATTGTCCTAGAATAAGAACCCACTATCAGCATATTGTGTTCTTCCTTTCTTAGTAAATACCACCATTCTCTTAAATTTGCTGATTCCTTCAATTCTAGCCCATGTATAACTAGATGAAAGGTATTTTCTGATCTTTCCAATACTACTTTTTTTTTTGCTTGCAATTTCCGATCCTTTCTAATCCTTTGGAATTCTAACTCTTGTATACTGGATTCAATGGAACCCACCAGATATCTTCCACCGAATGGAGTTCCAGTTCTGGCTCCCAATTTCCAGAACTCTTCTGTATTTGGAATCCTGGCTCTGTCTCCTCTTAGCTGTGGCCCTTAGGTGATTCAATTGGTCTCTCCAAGACTCAGTTTTTTAAAATTTATTAATGGATATAATAACATCTATGTAGATTTTGTAAGGAATTGACTCAGTAAGTGTTAAATGAGGGAATGTAAATAAAGCATTTAGTACAATGCATGGCACTTAGTAAGAACTCAAAGTGTGGTGGTGATGAGAAATTATTAATGGAGTCATAGTAATAGTGATGATTATTATTTCACTTACGTCCAATGTAGCCTCACGATTGGGGTTTGTTTGGCTATAGAACATCCATGAATTAATATGGTTCTGGTTCCTTTTCCATGAAACACATCTGCCCTCTTAATTAATGCTCCAAAACAGACTGCTAACCTTTATCAGTAATAAATTACATCAGTCCCTAAAATTTGGTGTGCCTAAGGAATGGGAGACCACATGTTGATCTCATTGGAAGCTGGAAGAGGGTGTAAGAAATGAACATTTGGCCCTGGAAAAATATTTGTTTTCCATTGTGAAATATTATTTGGGTATTGTCATATTCTCTATTTTTAACATAAAACATAGCCAAATGTAAGTAATTCTTAGACCAATTCTGTATATTTCATAATTCCTTTTCTATTTTGTTTTTCTCCTCTTAGGAATGGAAAACACACAATTGTGCAATGTAATCCACAGGCAGAATACAGATCATAACTGTGTTTTATTACTATAGACCCAATGCCCTGTAGTAGTCTTTTAGAGATGAGCAAATCTGAAATCTAATTTTGGTTACCTTTGGTGGAGGGAGGCAGCCAGAGAATGAGCGATCTTCTTTTCGAAAACTCAGACTGAGGTTCTCTTTGTTGAGTTTGCCATTGGTTGTCCTTAGTGCCATCTTCAAAATCTCCAGCAGGCTCTTGTTCACTTCCGACTGTGAGCTGGAGTCTGGAGGTGGAGTACTGATTGGAGGGGACAGGGAAAGTCTATGAAAAGATGATCCTCTCGAAGCAGCTGTATGTTATCATACTATGTCTCTCAACTCTGCTATATACTGTGGAATGAGACCTAAACTCCTCAGGTTCTAGATTTTGGTAACCTGGACATGCAAATGCATGTGGAATTTCATAAATTACCTCAAATCTGTTCCATCTGAGTGGGCTCTGCAGTTTCTTCTCCAGGAGGCACCAACCAGTTTGACTACAATGTAGACCAAAATTCTTAATCCATCTCTCTAGCTCTTTTTTCCCAGTTGAAAGAAAAAATAAGTGATCATAGTAGTTCACTTTACCTGCTTGATCTTACTTTTCTTAAACTCAGATAGTTATTGATGGCAAATCAAATTTCCAAACTGTTCATTGCCACAAGCCACACCAAGCCAAATCAAGCAGTTCCTGCTAGATCGCTGTAATCAGGGAACCTATGTAGGAGGAAATCCTGAACCAGGAGAACTTCCTGCATTATCCTTGATTCTGCTCTTCATATCTGGAAAACCCAGACGTGTTTTGGGAGTTATTTACTCACAGTCTGGCATGCAAATGTATATAATTATTAAGATGGTTTGTCTAACTGACTATTGTGACTAAATAGATGAAAAACAACAAGTGAAAAAATGTTACAGTCATTTACTTTATGAAACTAGTTTGAGGTGTTCACTTGTTTAAGCTTCAAATTTATTTGTTCTTCCAGATCTAGCTGGACCGTTATCTCCTCTGTGATGCTTTTCCTGATTTCCACTGTCTCAACTTAAATGTCACTTCCCCAGGGGGACAGTCTATGACATCCCCCAAGCTCCACCAATATGTCAGTTTCCTTTTAGTGGTGCACTGGTAAATCTTTGACAACTGACTCTCCAATATACAGCCCTAAGTTATAGCATTATCTATTTTCATGGTGCAAATGACTCCCACCATGGCTGATTTTAAGCTACCGATGTGATGTCTCCGAATAAGGAGTTGGGAAGAGGTGTGTGTAATCGGCCCTCATGCCTGGATCCAGCACACCCTCAAAGTGCCTTGTTCTTTTCCTTAATAGGTCTCCCTCAGGGGCAATCACACCTCTGTTTCCTTAGTTACTGTTTCAAGACTGATTTCCCTAATAGACTGTTCCATGAGGTCAAATCTGTTTTGTTCCTTATTATTTCCCAGGGATCTTGTATAGTAGCTGGACTTGATTAGTTTTAGATGTACTGTATCTAACTTATTCTAAAGGTCACATTGTATTTTTTTTTTCCTTTTTTGTTCTGTGACTCTTTGGCCCCAAATTATACTATTCTGAACCACCTAATAACACAATATTTTCAAAAGTTTGGTACTGGGAAGGAATAATGGATATGTGCCTTTGCTTTGGTCACCAGCCTCTGCAC